ACGGTTGACACTACAACCGTTCCGATGGGTTGTTCAATTCTATCTAGGTTGTGAACAAACAATTCTTGTTTCGCAAGTAACTGATATAGTGATCTTCGGTACGCCCGATGACGACCCACTTATCTACATGCAAAACAACAGAACGTGGAACTTATTTAACCAAACATAATTCTCATTCATCAAGGAATAACAAGTGTAATATCCACTAAAGCAAAGCTTAAGTATATAACACCAACAGATAGTTCCCCACCGAGTGCGCAAGTAGATACATCACATAATACTGCAACACGTAACACTGATAGTGTGCCAGTACAGACGGTACCTCGTCGTAGTAGGAGGGTTTCTACACAACCCAACCGATGGATAGGTCTTGGAGAGTCATTGGACTCAGTTCCAGGAGACCTAGAATCGGATCCTAGAACTTATGACGAGGCACTCCAAGATAGAGATGCAAATTCGTGGAAGGTTGCAATGAAAGCTGAGATGGGGTCTATGGACACCAATCAGGTTTGGGATCTTGTAGAACCACCCGATGGGATACGTCCCATTGGATGCAAGTGGGTTTACAAGAGAAAGAGGGGATCGGATGGAAAGGTGGAAACCTTTAAAACTAGGCTTGTTGCGAAAGGTTATACCCAGAAAGAGGGTATCGATTATGATGAAACCTTTTCGCCAGTAGCTATGCTTAAATCCATTCAGATTCTCTTAGTTGTAGCCACTCATATGGATTATGAAGTCTGGCAGATGGATGTTAAGACGGCTTTCCTTAATGGGAACCTTCAGGAAGACATCTATATGCAGCAACCAGAAGGATTCTGGTGGGGACAAAGATCCCGGCTCCCTCGACTCGGACGGCCACCGTACCTGCAAGAACCCAAAGCCAAGGACCCCGGGAGGGGTGCCCGGCTTTGGGCCTCCGATGCTTAAGTCAGTACAGGATCCATATGAGAGCACATATAGACAGAGAGTATAGAGAGAGGAAGTGTAGGAAGGGAATGAGTAGAGAATGTAGGAAATGAATACCTTAGCCCCCCTTTTATAGGGGGAGTGTACCTTATAGTCCCAATTGGGCTTGGCCTAATTTGGGCTCGGCCCATATTATTATATCAAGTGTCTTAGCCCATGTATGGGCGTATTCTTCAATATATATCCATAAAAATCGGTCAGGTATGACATGTTATATCAAATACTATCGGTCGAGTCGGCAATACTAGTTGTGGCTATATCATCTAGTCCCCCCCACTCTGGTCGAGTGAGCATAACTCGATCAAAGAGTGAAGTAGAATAATTCGCCGCTGGAGTCAAACACTGAAACTGAATGGTTGTAGAAGTCGAAATTTAAGCGACCCGCCACTGGGGTCAAGCACCGAAAGCTGAGATTCGAGAGACCGCTGAGGCCGAAAACCAAAAGTAAAGACCGTTCAGGTCGAAAACCGAGAGTTGAGACCGTCGAGGTCGAGAACCGAGAGTTGAGACCGTTTAGGTCAAAGATCGAGACTGGAGACCTTGAGGTCGAAGATCGAGAGTCGAGACCGTTGAGGTCGAAGATCAAGAATCAAAACCGTTGAAGTCGAAGATCGAGAGTCGAGACCGTTTAGTTCAAAGGCCGAGAGTCGAGACCGTTGAGGTCGAAGATCGAGAGTCGAGACCGTTTAGGTCAAAGATCGAGAATCGAGACCGTTGAGGTCGAAGATCGAGAGTCGAGACCGTTTAGGTCGAAGATCGAGAATCGAGACCATTGAGGTCGAAGATCGAGAGTCGAGACCGTTTAGGTCGAAGATCGAGAGTCGAGACCGTTTAGGTCGAAGGCCGAGAGTCGAGACCGTTGAGGTCGAAGATCGAGAGTCGAGACCGTTTAGGTCAAAGATCGAGAATCGAGACCGTTGAGGTCGAAGATTGAGAGTCGAGACCGTTTAGGTCGAAGATCGAGAGTGGAGACCGTTGAGGTCGAAGATCGAGAGTCGAGATCGTTGAGGTCGAAGATCGAGAGTCGAGATCGTTTAGGTCGAAGATCGAGAGTGGAGACCGTTGAGGTCGAAGATCGAGAGTCGAGACTGTTTAGGTCGAAGGCCGAGAGTCGAGACCGTTGAGGTCGAAGATCGAGAGTCGAGACCGTTTAGGTCA